TATATATATATATATATATATATCATACATACACATATATAAACACGAGTAAGTTTAGGATGTACGTGTATACCTCGACCATCTGCACCCTGAACACGCGTGTAGGTCACACCGGCAGCTGCTGCTAACAGCGCTCTGGTCACATCATCATCATCCTCGTCAACAGCTGCTCGCGACTTGGCTGCAGCAGTGGCAGCTTCTTTGGCTCGTTCGGCCAGCTCAGTCGGTCCAGCCATTTGTGGTGGTGCAGTGATCACCTTCAGTGTGACCTCACTGGACGTCGATTTGGAGGTGGTTGTGGTTGACGGTGAGATGGTCGGCAAAGTCACATTGGTAACCACAGTTCTGTGTTGTACTGGGAGAGGACCTGAAGGGACCGTGGGCTGGAAGGTGGGGATAGTCGGCTGCACTAAAGGCAGGTACATTGGCACAGCGGACGTCAGGTGCAAGGGAGCTGTATTCAAGGGAAAAGCATAAAGTGGAATATATACATATAGGACATGATGTGGTGAATATTGAGTGCGAAAAATCCGTACTAGTCAAGGTCCTAGTGGCCCCTCCCAACAGTAGATCGGACAAAAGTGTTCACTCTTTGAGGTGCGATGGCGATATATTGCGTCAAATCGGGTCGTTTGACTTCAGAGGTGGATTGATTCTTTCGGGTTACAACCCTCAGAAAAACCGCTGGATTTTCAAACTAAGACTTATCGCTTGCAATAAAGCTGAGAATGGGCCATTGTACTATACATCTGACTTGATCCACTTACAATGGAGCTAGAGGTTCATCGCGTTAACCTACTTCACAAAATTAAGGAAGGAAATAGTGCCAAACCAATGAATACACGCGTGGTCTTCGTTGTGGAGGCACCAGGGCTACAACTGGGTGGATAAACAATGTGGGTTTTTCATTCTACGGATGTTGGCCATATGTTGGTCTCAAAGCGACCAACAGGAGTGTATAAATTAACTGGTGTTAATTCAAAGACGATGAGGACGTTGCTGGATTGACTACGAGGGTGTTATCGGTGTGCAAAGAGTTTAGTGAACAACGCAGTTAGCTAGACAGGGAGGCGCTAGTCTTTAAAGAACTACCAGTCCCACATACCATGCGGGCCAGAAAAGCACTTCAAATTCCTAGCTATGGTGGGATTTCAAGAAGGTACCCCACTCTGAAGTACGTTAAGATGGCTCCTTTTTTCGGGTAAGCTAGCTTACACATCCGCGTAGAAATCACGTATCATTTTTTGAGGATTTTCTTGCATTTCTACCGAGGAATATCAAAATCGACTTTCTTAGCATGTACCACTTTGCAATAAATGAACAGCAAATCGCGATCGGTGTTATGACAAAATAATAAGGGACTTCAGAGTAAATCTCCCAAATTTCAACCCTGAGGGAGACCAACCAAGAAGCTTCAAGGAATTCCTGTTTCCATTTATGAAATGCATTTTGATCGACGGCAAATATGGTCGCACATTTTGTTCAAATTACCGCATCCCACCTCTTGTTGTCCAGACAGAGCCGGACAAAAACAGCACGTAGGGTGAAAATCCGTTACTTCTGGGGCACAGTAACCCAATTCAAGCATAGAAATCTACAAAACGAAATTAATGAGACAAGTCTACTACAATCACTTTGCCACCGATTATGGATTCTGCCTCCTCATCAATGTGCGCAGAAAGTGCGTTCGTGATCCGGTTCCTGTAACAGCTGTATCCCACTCAGCTAAACCACTCGTGGATCAATCGAATAACCACTTCACAAAAAATTGGAGCCGAGTAAGGAGTCGTCGTTTCAGAAAATTGTAGGAAGCGAAAGGTGTGTGTTGCTCGACAATCATCACGGGAGACCCACCAGGCCACCTCATGTTTCGGTTGGTACGATATTCGAGATATAGAAATTCATGGCATAAACGTACCATACTACTCATGAGGTTTATGGGACGGAACATAGTTCTGGTCTACCGCAATCACTCCGACGTGCCCACACCTCAAGAAACTAATTCAGACAACTTATTACGAAAACTAACCACAGGAGCGCCACTGTACTGATTAGGAGCCATGTGCCGCAGCCCCTCCAATGATGTGCAGGTGAGATCGTGTGAACACCATGCTGAAAGGTGAATCACATCGACGATACGCAGACTTTCCGTGAACGGATTCTTACATGTCCCTCCCTCTTACAAGTTAGAGGGAAAGATCGTTCAGCTGTAGCATTACTTCTGCGCCTAACTGCCATGCCACCGGAAGGAAGCATAAGGGCTGGAATACTGCCAGGTTGCCCAAGCCTGTACAGGGAAATTCGAGAGGCAGAAGTTGGATTCGAACCACGGACCTTCCGGTCAGTGATTTCGCACTCTAACCACTGAGCCATCATGTCAGAGAGAGACCACATTTCTGCTTGAACCAATGGATTGGGAACTAAAACCTGCACTCCTTCCAACGGGTGATTTGGTATTCAGTATACATGCCTAACCATCGCAGCTTTTCGTTAGTGACACATTCTTCGACTGAAACCCTTGTTGCAGTGGAACACTCGTTCTTACTGCGGATTCGCCGGCACCACATCACACGAGGTATGGGTCTTGGATAACGGTTTCCGAAGACCTAAGAATATCACAGTTCTGCATCTCACAGAGGTTACGTCTCACAGACGTACAAAAAACAGCCCACACTGCGGAATAGCAGATACATACTTTGAGGTCCAGGGATGTCACTTTCCCACCATAGGTGTCTCAAAATAACCAACGCCACCTGAGTCTCAGGGTTGTGCATTCACTTCCCGTTTTACACTACGACCGAAACATACCCTACTTCAAAGATAGGTAGAACACTCCACAACCTACGGTAAATTAAGCGCGCTTTTAAGCCCGACTGTCATGATTTTTGTGTGCTTATTC